GCAGCAATGGCAACCCTACTTGCAACCCCCATCCCCACAATTCCTTGCTGCCCCTCTTTCTCCCCTCAGTTCCCCCCTGGAGCTTTCCAATGCTCTCAGGGGGGTGCTACCGATCACTTTGGGGACCACTGGTCTAACTGAAGGACCAAATATGGATTTGGACTTAAATGTTTGAACTAAGATCTTGCTGTTGAGTCAGCCTTTCACATGCTGTCTTTAATACTGAAGCACATTTAAATACAGTTTGGGAAAGTAAAAATCTAGATGGCAGTGTAACTCATGCTTACCTGACTGGCCCCTTTATTAGTCCCCATCTGCAGGCTAATTGTTGTCTGGTCAAATGGCTTATCAGTTTGCATCTTTGGATCATAGAGATGCCTCCTAGTCCCATAAGCTGTCATGCCTGCCTGGCTGGCACATTTGTTGGTTCCCATCTACAAACAGAAGAGATTGGTTAAAACTTAAGGGGGAAAAAATAAGGCTCCAAAATGTACAACTGTAATTTATAACCACCACCTTTCTGCATTAATGACTAGAAATAACAATCATCCCATGTAGGAAGATTAAAATAGAATCTGCAGCACCTACTCCTCATGACAGTGTTAAACATTTTTATTTAATGAATAAACTTAAACCCCCACCACCACCTTGAAGAGGAGTTCACTGGCCTAAATACAATTGCTAGTTGCACCGAGAAAATTCCAACTGAATCAGAATCACTTATATACATTTCACTATCTAATGGGTCTACTTTAGATGGGAGCAGCAGTTGAGTTTAGGCCAAAGACTAGTTATCTCATGCCTGCTGATAGATCCCCTTGTCTACTCCATTGCGGGCTTTAATGTATGCCCCCTTTTTTTGTTCCTCAGTCGGGCACAACTAGACAATCACATCAAAGGGGAAACCTTTACCTTTGAAGAATGTTATCTAACAACAGTCCAGATATGTTGGAAAACTCCCACTCCTAAGGCAAGATAAATCTTGCAATTGTACTGTAATTAACACAAACAGTTGTCTGTCAGATCTTAAACATTTTCCCTGAACACTGATTTAGTGAAGTTTACCTCTATTCCTTACCTGCAAACCAATCACACTTTGCCCAGCCTTAAGTTTTCCAGCATCAAAACATCTTGCTTGTTTTTCTGCATATTTAACACCAATATCAATAGTAGTGTGAAAGCCTTTGGTTTTTGCCTAGATAAAGGATAAAATGGCATTCAGTATTTCTAGTACACATTTTTGCCACTGGAACACTGGACCTCAAATATATCCCATTCTTCTATTAGCTGTCTGAGTTATCTTTGATTCAACAACTTTGTGCCAAAAGTGTTTTTAAACTATTGAATGGCTCTCTGAATAGGCAACTATGTATTTGGCAATAGAGGTGAAAAGTTGGCAATATCCCACAACTCTGGTACAGAATAAGTTTGGGTTTGAGCTCCAACAAACTAGTTACATCAACTTCATTAACTTTTATGCATGAAATGTCATGGCATGCTTGTTACATACATCCCATAATGGAAGAGGCTTCTTTTGGATAACAATTGAAATAAGGATTATAAAGCATTTTCTTTTCCTTACTGAAAGGCATATTGTAATATTGATAATGATGGTGGTATTGATTAGTCATGGACCCAATAATATGACAGTTATAATTAGGCTCCACACGCCAATACAGACTTACCAGACCTGCTAGTGCAACCAGTGATGTCTGAACTTGGGTCATATTTCCGTTCTCAAAGAGATCATTTGCTTCAAAAATATCATGTGGTTTCATGCCATACTGTTGAATGGACTTGATGAAATTTCCAATATTCTCCAGCTAAAATTAAACAAATGCAGGAAGTTATTACTTCATTTTATTTAAGGTGAACTAAACATTTAATGTGTGAGTCAGTGTGGTATAGTGGTTTGAATGCAAGACTATGATTCTGGAGACTAGGGTTCGAATCCTCACTCAATCATGGAAATCCATTGGACAAGTCACACACTCTCAGCCTTAGAGGATGGCAATGGCAAACCCCCTCTGAAGAAACTTGCCAAGAAAGCTCCATGACAGGTCACCGTAAGTTGGAAACGACTTATGCCTTAGAGTTGCCATAAGTTGGAAACAACTTGAAGGCACACAATAACAAACATATGAAATAACCCTGAATGGATGTTTTGTTAGGCATGAGGGGGCACTGATTTAGATTGGAGAAGTGGAGTTTGTGCACCTAACCCTTTCCTTGCCCACTAATTCTCCCTTTCTACATAATGCTGTGTGGGGGTGTTTTCCTTCAAATTTCTGTTGGGATGTTGTTTTAACATAATGCAAGTTCAAAACAGCATCCAAGATAATAGTAGTGTGAACACTGACATACCGTTGCTGGTTCATCTTATTTTGATTTTGCAAACTGTGTTAATGCAATGGAAAGAACATTCTGGACCCTAAACCATTTTAACAATTACTTAAATCTAGTTATAAAAACGTAACAAAATAAAAATAAAAATAAAGAACATTGCTTTCCATGAGACTTCCTGCCCTAGTTGTATATTTCAGACTTTAGCATGCTGAATAAGAAGCATATATACATTAACTCCTTCCTGTATTGCATAATATGGATAATGATTTCCAGTTTGTTACTTTGGCAAAGCTAGAAGCCAAAGACAAAAGCATCTTACATATAAAAAGGCATTTCCTGGGGCTATGAGGGCCTTCTTATTTGAAATATTATGACAAACCAGATTCCTTGGGCTGTGAAAAAGGTACAGTGGGCCCACTGAGTCAGCAGGTTAACAGATTTGATGCGTTGATGCGGATGTGTACATCGCCTCTCATCTAATATTATGGGGCATGACAATCCACATTTTTTCCCATCTGCAGGGGGGCTTGGAACCAAAGGGTCCATTGTAATTGTGTCTACCTCTAACAAAGAAAATGGAAAGGGCCAAGAGGTGGAGATTTCTCTAACCCTGAGCAGAATCTAAACAAAATCACTATTTTTTTACAAAAACCACTACCACTTTGCTATTCTACTCACGTAACGGAAGTTTCCATGTGTGTGGTACACCTTGAGTGAAGCTGTCATTATCAAAAAAGAAAAGAAAACTTCTAACTGCTTAATCATTAATACCTTAACTGTTGAACATTTTCTGTCCCTCCAAAAATAAATAATTAAAAGACTGAAACTCTCCTTCTGACAATCACTGACCATTAACTTTTCATTCATATATTTTACATGTCCTTCAAAGAGAACTTCAAAAACTCTAAACACAGTATTTAACTCATTAATTACCTGATGCCAGTTCAATTTGGATTGATTGATTTTCTTTACTGATCCTGGCTGAAGTTTATTGATAAGCCTGCAAAAACAATAGAATGAAGTAAAGGTCCTTTTAAAAAGAATCTGAATATAATCACCAACTGAAATATTCATCTTGCAGCACTACAAATGTCCTGATCAAAATCTTTGTCAATACATAAAGCCTGTGGTAGGTGGCACTTTGCAGAATTAGTCCAACTATCAAGTTTTTAGTAAGTATTAAACTTTAGAATACACTTGTGAAAAAATCTCAGTACATGTAGAAAATAAACATACAAAGAAAGAGACTTTCACCTTGCCAATATATGAACAAAGCTGTCTGTCTGTGTCCATTTAACAGAAAAAGGATAAAAATAATGACCCGAGCCATGACATCGGATTGTCCTGGCAAAGTGAAGCCAAAGCAAGCATCTAAATGCCCTTTAGACTGTAGATGATTTTAAAGGGGCCACTGCATCACATACCAAAATTTGTAAGTACACCCCATGAGTAGGTTGTTTATTAAAGCTCTTCCATATTGAATAGAAATATCAGTCAAAACCCAATGAACTACTCCCGTAATCCCAGCAGAATTCTTTTTTTCATTATGATAATTCTGAGGGGAAAATCAGCACCCTGTTGGGCCTGTATTTGGCCTTTACTAATATAAAAAAAAAAAAAACAGGATTAGACCAATGACATAAATCCTATAACTATAAACAAGATCACTGAGAATAACATCCTTTGATATGGGAACTATTCTAGAAGTGAAAATGATTTTGATCATATATACACATGACAAAGATATTTTGGGGAAAGATTAAAATTTTAATTGAAAAAAATGCTAGACTTTTCATTTTAACGTATTAAAAAGTGTGTAGGCAAGGAACATTATGAACAAACTGGCTATTTGCTAGATATTTAGATTTAAATTCTTCTGGAATTTGCTTTAAATTCTAGAAAAATTTAAAGAATTTAAATTCAAAGAATGTAAATTAACTCAACTTAAGGAATTTGAGCAACAAAAATATGGTTAAGTTTAGAGCCAGTCATTATTGTCTCAGGACTGATGTACATCTTGTTGAGCAAACATTACATATCCTTGTGTGATGAAAACTGTATAAAATAAAGTCAGAGACTCAAGTCACCCTATTCCTCAAACTCACATATTTATTAATGTGCAACATTTTTGCTCATTTCAATTTCAATTTTGCTTTGGTATCAAAATTTCCTTTTAGTTTGTATCTCTCTGGCCTCACTCTTACGCCACTCACCCTCACATCACTCAAAAGGTGATGACCACCACACTGGTCAACATTCAATTCATTGCCTTTTCAAAAATGCATCTTCTAGGCCAAAAGCTGCTTGTGGGGGGTGTACCAACATTGCTTCTCATACCCTCTATGGGGCATTTGAGGGCCAAAAACCACCCAGAAAAAAATGGTCTTTAGGGACCACAAAATTGCTGTGGGGAAGCCATACTTCCCTAAACTCTGTTCTCCGGCAAGGATGAATATAACAGGTATATCTAGTTTTTAAAAGTAGGTAGAATATATATATGAGTATCCCGAATATGTTAAAAACTCTGGTTTAAAACTAAGGAGATCTGTCTGATATGAAATAATAAGAAATTATGTTACTTACTCGCACAGTATGATGCCATCTTTTAAGCCCAACTGAAAGTTTGCCCCAATGCTCATGCCAGTAACCTCTTCAATCCAATTGCGAAGATCTTCTTCTACTTGTGGATCATATTTCAAAGCAATCTGAAACAAAGAAAAAAATGAAATAGATTGAACAGGGTCCTTTCTTCATTTCTAACATAGATGACAACCTCTTTGATTCAATAAGTAGATGTTATGAAAACATCTTAAAATGGATCCAATCTTACTTCAATTATCGGCTTTACTAATTTGCATAAAGTGAAATTTCTAAATATTTTTGAAGCTTTCTCTAAACACAATTTCAGCTGTTCAAACAAGCCAAAGGATTTTTTCAAGAAGATTTTAGCCCTGTTGAACAAGACTGGGTCCCAATATTGCAATACTGCAAAAAAGAAAACTTAACTGTGTAAAGATTTATAAAGAATGTATCAAAATGAATATTGTTAAATGAATGTATAGAAATATCAATACAAAGGTACTGAGATTTATATATGAATTATCAAAAATGTTAAAGCTTGGATTGTAGCACACAGAGGATCTAATGAAGACAATAAGAGTAAATTGAAAAATAGTTGAGGACAAACTGGAGATTCAATGGAAGTCAATTGTATATAATGTAAATATATATTGAAAATCATATGAATATTTCATTATGATATGTGTGAAAGAAATGCATCTTTTAATAAAAACTTAAATATATATAAAAAAAGATTTTAGCCCTGACAAGGGATTTCCACTTGTAAGCATACTCTTGCTTATACTGCCATTTTGCACAGCTCTCCTTGTACATCTTCCCAGTTTCAACCTCTTCTTGCTTTGTCTCTGACTGTCCACAGGTAGCATGTTGTGCTCAATAAAGGTAAAAGTTTCCCCTTTGACAAGGCTGTCAAGCAACTTCCAACTGTAGGCGGTGGTGCTCATCTCCATTACTAAGTCAAAGACCCAGTGTTGTCCAAAGATGGCTCCATGGTCATGTGACCAGCATGACTGCACTGAATGCTGTTGCCTTCCCTCCTAAGTGATACCCTATTTATCTATTTGCACTTTTACATGCTTTCGAACTGCTAGGTTGGCAGAAGCTGGGACTAGTGACAGGAACTCACTCCGTCACACAGCACTTGGGTCATAAACTGCCAGTCTTCCAATCAATTGAGTCAGTGTCTTAACCACTGAGCCACTGCATCCCTAGCTCAATACCCAGGACTGAATCCCTTGTTGGCAAACCTATGGCACATGTGCCATCTCTGGCATGCAAAGCCATTTTGGAGGCCACGCAGAGAGATGGGAGGGTGGGGGAAGAGGAGGAACAGACATGTGCCTGCTCCTCCTCTTCTCCCGCCCTCCTATCACTTCAGCTGTCACACCTTAAGTGGCTACAACTGCCACTTAAAGACACAGGAGGGTGGGGAAGAGGAGGAACAGGTATGTGCCTGTTCCTCCTCCTCCTTGCCATCCTGAGTCTTCAGCTCTCTCCAGAGAGGCAGCTGAGGGCCTGTGTGGGGGAAGAAGAGGTCCCACCCCATGGAAGGTGGAAGTCCCACCCCCTGGAAGTCCTGTTTCCCCCCCCCCCCCAGAAATTCTGTCTCCCCTGGGGCAGCGGGTAACAAACACCTTTAAGTTTGGGCACTCAGTCTCTAAAAGTTTTGCCATCACTGACTTAACCTATGCACTCATAGAGGAGGGGGGAAAACCCTTGCACTGCATTTCTAAGTGATAATGTACATGTGCTCTGGGTGGGGGTGAGGAAATAACCTGTGTAGCCACTCTTTTGTAAGAATGGTAGAAATATGCAATTTGGGATTGGAGAGAGATAACTATCTCTTTTGCAGTGCTAAAGGTACATCTGTTGTTGCAGATGTGAATTCTCATTTTTCTAATCTATCATCATCACTGGCCAACCAGGTGACAGCTCCCTCCTTCCACAAAGTACTCTCAGTTTAGGGCTATAAAACCTACATCATTCATATCACTGGCTGGGCTGGTTGGTGCTACTGGGAGTTGTGGCCCCTTCTCCAAGTGGGGACTGGGGCAGGGAACCTTCAAAAGCTTAAGAAAATCTTTCTGACCACAAATAAAAGTAAAAAAACAACAACAACATGCCTAGAGTCTAAGGCCAAACTTGCCCACCTATGACTACACTGGAGCAGTGTCAGTATGGATAAGGATATGGATGATTCCATCAATTCTCTGAACAACTGCCAGTGTTACACTTAATATTGTACAGGGAAAAGAAACAAATTCAAATATCTGTCAAAAAGCCAACTTAAAAATGTAAACAAAAGCAGATTATAAATTATATTTTGCCTTGATGTTTGGTTTTACTTCTTAACTTCAACAGCAATTGAATTAATTTACAAAAAAATTACTCCGCAAGAAAAACAATCTCAAGTCTAGTTTACCATTTTAAAGAAAGATAAGCAGAGACGGTATGGAAGAATAACAAAGCTTTTTAGTTTCTATGCTTTATGCCAGTACTTCACAAACTTTGGCCTTCCAGATGTTTTTGGCTTCGATTCCCAGAATTCCTGAACACTTGGTTATGCTGGCTGGGGCATCTGGGAGCTGAAGACTAACACAACTCCTGCGCATGTGCAAACGAGTTGTGGCTGACATTTTGGCAAACAAAACGGCAGCCGCAACGCGTGTGGCGGCATGGTGGTGTGGCAGCGGGAGTGCGTGGTGGCGGCAGCGGGGGTCAGCGGCGGGGGTCAGCGGGAGCCGGTCCATGGGGGTCGGAGGGCCGGGTGCAGACCGCGGGCCATAGGCTGCCGACCCCTGCCTTAGCTGATGGATGTAACATCAGAAAGAAAAAATGTGTTTACTTTTACCAATTTTGAGGCAATTTCAATGATAACAATCATGGATCCTGCTTCAGTATTATTAAAAACAACAAAAATGAATTTTAGCACATTACGATGTCCAGCTTTTGCAGTCTTATCAGGAATAATGTACACTAGCCTCAGTGAGACAAAGTTCAAGTAAGCTAGCCAGCCTCTTCCTATTGTCCTTTCTTCCACTGTGCCCAGAGAAACATGGTCATACCTGTGCACATGTTGCCCATGTTTTTATTTTGGCAGAAGCGATCATAATTTGCCAAATGTTTTTATACCTATTATAAATTCAGTGGTTTTCAAAGAAGATAATAATAATATACAAAAATTAAAATCCTATGTAAGGATTTTTAGCGGGTCTGCCAGAGGCTCCAAACTGTTGTCATGTGAGCCAGGAAAGGAAGCCAGACCTCAGGAGTTGCTCCCACCACCAAGCAAAGCAGCCAGGCTGCAGGAACAAAATATTAAAGTCCTCCTGCCTCCAACTGAACCAGACTCCAGGATGCCTCAGGTACTGGTGACCCACCTCTATTCTCCCCCCAAAACCAAACTGTTGTCTTGCCCAGTCACTTCCTTACCCATCTTCCTTGCTGCAAGGAACATTGCAGACATGCCCACTAAGACAGGCCCTGGGCAGCAGATCTCCAGAGTCTCTTCTCAGCCTGCAGGAAGCTAGAAAGAGTGGAATGGAAGGAAGCAGGAGAACAGCTGTTCCATGAATCCCTGCCCTTCATGTATAGCTCCCATCACTGGCCCAGAGGGACTTAGCTGGCCGGCTAGTCAGCTAGCCAAGCTGTGGTTACCCACTGGCAATCGCTGCTCATCACTCAGATCTATTGCTGATGAACAATTCCAGGCCCACCAGCTAAAAAGATTTGCACCAGGGTCTGAACGCTGTGGTCCCTCTTTTGTTTCTGGAAAAAGCAGCTTCATGTGCAAGGCCCAAGTTCCACTGGGGTCCTAGAAGGAGCTGTTCCCCAATCTGCTCTCTACATATCTGAACACTAGGGAGCACATTAATCCATTCACAGTCACAGACTCCTAATCAAAAACCGAACAGATACAGTAATGCCCACAACAAACTCAAAATACAAATGGAAAGAACAGATGAATCCAAGTGCAACATGTTATCATTTTAAATCAATGAACACCACAGTATGTTGGTAAAACATACCAAAATAACCCACAGAACCCTGACTTTGTTGCTTCTTTTCCCATTGGGGCCCCATTTTAATAAGAGAGAGAGGGGGCTAAAAGATCATGTCATCACAAGAGCATTTCAGAGCAAGTCTGCTGTTGAACTGGAATGCATAAAGGGTGACTAACGTTTTATCCAGAGCAGCATTGCCAAGGAATGTCATCAGTTCTCTCATTTCTGCAAAGCCAACTTTTTCCAGTATTCATTTTGCAATTTCTCTCCACATTTGAAATCTGATATTTGCACAGCAAGTCACGAAACACAATGCTTAGATGCTTATATCTTCAACTTCTATCAGCTATCTAACATTTTACCATGAACGCCAAATACAGTGCTTATACTGGCTCAATATATGTGTACACATACATGCGTGCACACAGATATGGGGGTTATCCAGAATTTATTAATAAGCTTTTCTATTATTTCTTTATTTCATTAAAGTGCAGCTCAGACAGATTTGCAGTGCTTCAGCTATAAAAAATCATACTAACTAATCAAGCTTGTGGTGAGAACACCAGTTGTTATTTCTTTGGCTCTGATAGTTCCCACCCATAGTCATGTTAAACCTGCTCCAGCACAGCAGATGACAAAATATGGTCACTGCTGGCAACCTAGCAAAGGCATCTGAGAATCCTGCTACTGTGTCACAAAACTCTGTTCACAAAACATCACCTGAAGTAACACTTTAGATGCTACTTTCCACAATACAGGTATAGTTATAAATGGACATGTATCAGCTAACAGCCGATACAATTACCATATATACTTGACTATAAGTCGATCCCGTGTATAAGTCAAAGGCAAGTTTTGAGGCCAAAATTATGTATTTTGATATGACCTGTGGATAAGTCAAGGGTAAAATGTCGGGGCATGTACAAAGGATCTAATGAATGAAGCAAAGGAAAATGATACCAAAGGATTTACAAAATTCCAGTAGGCAAAACTGTTTGTGCTGCTCATTTTAAAGGCTACATGGATAAGAGGAGGAGGGGTGTTCAGTGCTTCCAGAAAAGATTACATTCTTGCCTTTTACCTTTTTAAATAATGGTTCCTTTTTTAAAAAAATAAGTTAGTTCCTTTTTTGAAAATAAGAGTTAAAATATAGTACTTACATTGACCAGTGGATAAGTCGACTCAGTTTTTTTGGGTCAATTTTTTGACTAAAACTTTTAGACTTATACATGAGTATATACAGCAATAAAAAACTGTATCAATTTTCCTATCTTCCTATCTCTGAAGTTTGTTAAGCCATACATACTTAAAATGCTGTGATGTGCTGCAACATGTGGCCTATAGAGTTCATGTGCCGCTGGTTGTTTTTGTAGCTCCCAATGTACCCTTGTCCAGACCAAATTTCAGTGGGACAGTGAAAAAAAGGCAACTGTTTTAGGACAAGACACTTTGGGAAAAGAAAATGTTACTTACTGGAGCTAGGTGTAGCTGCTGGTGAATCTGGAGGGGCCAATGTGGCCCCTCCGCCACTGGACATTCCCCACTCTGCTATGCTCATTCCTCCTCACCAACATTCATTTTTTTAAATATAAGTTAACCATTCAACACTTTCCCCACCAGTTTTAACCAGGGCAGAAATTAGATTTGTTGTTGTGTGCCTTCAAGTTGTTTCTGACTTATGGCAACCCTATTATGTGGTTTTATTGACAAGATTTGTTCAAGGAGGGGGCACCATTGCCTTCCTCTGAGGATGAGAGGATGCGCCTTCACCCACTGAACTCCCTTGGCTGGGTAGGGATTCAAACCCTGGTCTCCCACAGTCCTAGTCTACCAGTCAAACCACTACACCACACTGGCTCTTTACTAGCCTATAAATCCCAATACACTCCCCATTCGCAGACTTCCTGTTTGTAATTTTGATTTCCGCAGACAGCAAGCCAGGAGGGACAAAATGGGGTGCGTACCCATGGTGCGCATGCAGGGCTGCACACAGGAGTGTACCACCATTATAGTCAATGGGGCCAGAATATCTGTGTTTTATCTATTTTGTGGGGGGGGAGTGCAGAATGGATCCCCACGAATGGGGAGGGATGACTGTATATTATTAAAGACGGGCTTCTAGTTCTGCTACCTATTACTGGCAACAACAAGCTGAAAGGTTTTACCAGCTTCACCACTCCAGATGTCTCTTTCTTTCTTTCCTTTTTTTTAAAGGAGAGATGTTGTTTTGTACCTTTAAATTGTTTCCAACTTATAGTAACTCTAAGGTGACCTTATCATGGGGTTTTCTTGGCAAGATTTGTTCAGAGGAGGGTTGCCATTGCCTTGTCCTGAGACTGAGAGCTTGTGACTTGACCAAGATCACCCAGTGGATTTCATGGCTGAGTGGGGATTCGAACCCCGATCTCCAGAGTCATAGTCTAACATTCAAACCACTACATCTAACTGAATCAAAGGAGAGATACTGGTTGCATAAAAAGTATCTACCGTACTCTGCACTTTCAAAATCCATTCTATCAATTAACTGCTTATTGTCCAAATAATCTTATAAAAGACAGGGGAGGAACCAAAAAGTATACCAGAAAGTTACAGGGCTAGAACAAATATAAGTATTAATTATATGTAGGATGGCAAAATAAATAAAGATTGTGAAGTCGAAGGCTTTTATGGCCGGCATCCATAGTTTTTGTGGGTTTTTCGGGCTGTGTGGCCATGTTCTAGAAGAATTTTTTTCTGACGTTTTGCCAGCATCTGTGGCTGGCATCTTCAGAGAAATGCCAGCCACAGATGCTGGCAAAACATCAGAAAGAAACTCTTCTAGAACATGGCCACACAGTCCGAAAAAACCCACAAAAACTATAAATATTGACAAGAGATTGTAAAGAGAGAATAAATGGTGATCAGCTAGAGGAAGAAGGTAATAAAACAATGAGAGGTGATGAAAGAGAGAGGGAGAAAGATGAGATGGAAGGAGGATGGGGGATGGGACAACAATTATTTTTGAAGAGTAAGGTGTAACAAGAAAGAAACGGTGGAAGGAGAAATAGGAGAAGGGGAGACAATGACATGGTGTGGTTAAAATAAATAGAAAAGGAAGGAAGAGATGGCGGTCTGGAGGACTGGGGTGGAGAAAATGGAAAGATAAGAATTAGAGTTGCTGAAGGACATAAAAGTACTTAATAAGATTACTGCAGTAAGACTATTATTTAATTAAAATATACAATTATTAATTTACCTCTGAGATTAACTTTGTGATTTTTGAAGTTTTCAAAAAAAACAAAACAACAACACATTAACTCAGGGTGGAAAAAATGTGTCATCTGCTGGTGAATTTAAGTAATAGATAAATTCAAAATTATTATTGGAACTTGTTGATGAAATGATTAATTATTTTTAGCAATATAGGAAAATTGAATAGAGAATGATTGATTGATTGATTGATGGGGGAATAACTGAATGAATTAATCTAGTGATTTAATTGGTTTATTGGATTTAATTGATTTCATTTAAGTCTATAAGCAATTAATATGGTATATGGATGAAACAGATTAATTTTGTATATAGACACTTCACTTGATATTGTACTAATTATGAACTAAGTACTGAATGAATTTTAAAAAATTAAGTACTGAATAAACTTTAAAAGATTTTCACTCTATAAATAAGACATAATAAGAGGAACTAACTGGTGACTTAACTTGAACTGATTCTTATTGATGAACCTCAAATATTTGACTATCTTTGAGTGAAACATATGGTATGTCCTGAATGAAATTGATATAAATCAAATTTTGATTACTGAAATAGTTTATTGAACTAACTATAAATGTACAAATAAATGTACAAAATTTGAGAAAGCTAACTTAAAAAACTGTGGGGAATAAGTTGAGAGGAATTTAATCATTAATTGTGTAAAGTGTAGGTATAAGAAGAATGATTTATTGATTTATTGAATAGC